ATGCTATTAAAATACGGATTATTAGCTAAGATTTTATGCTATTATAATTGGTATAACATAAACAAAAGTAGTTTGATAAAATTTTGAATTTAGGACATGAAAACCTTGTGTCATGTGCAGTAAAGGGTACTTGGGGCTATAAGATTAACCTGGTCACGGATCAGTTATCCTGATTCATCAAGATTCTACCAACGCTCTTTCCCCCGCTCCCTCTTTCTTCTAGTGGAGTATGGGAGTCCTTGCCACTTACGGTTTATAGCCATTGGGGTGATGGACCAAGAAGGCCTGTTCTCCTTAGAGTACATCATACCACTCAATTTGAAAGTAGGATGGTGGCATTCTTCTGATGGTGTGATGCTCTTCCTACTGTGGACCTGATAAACAATTCAAAATGCCTCCAGGTGTTGATTGTATTGCAGTTTGCCCATCTGGCTGAGGCACTCGTCCTCCTTACCATCCTCTGGATGTCAGTGCCTGGTGGATCAGGTGTTGGTTGGTGACGGTCCAGCTAAATAAGTCCTCATGTGTGTTTGGTTGGGACCCTCCTATAACTATGGACTGGATGATATATTCCCAATGCTGCCAGGTTTTAGACTGGACATGTAACCCCAATATTATGGTCCCTCTTCCTACCATCTGCTGGTTTCCAGTGAATCTGGTGTTGGTTGTAGTTGGATGAGACTCACTATTTCATGCTTGTGTAAGGCTGGGATACCCTCCTCCTACCGCAGACTGGATGAAACATTCCCAATGCCACCAGGTTTTGGCCTGGAGATGAACATCTACCTGGGCTCTCCTGGATGTTGGTTCTCTGTGGATCAGGTGTTGGTTGTGTTGGAGGTGCACAGATGTGGAAATGGGTTCTTGTTACGGAATCTCGGTTTTTCCCTACCTCTACCCATTTTTGAGATGAAAGGTAGTGAACCCTCTTCCTACTGTGGACCTGATGTATGATTCCAGATGCCACCAGTGTTGAGTGGAAGGTATTGTTAACATTTTTCCTAAAGTGATAATGTGTTTTTGATAGATACTTACCTCCCTTCACATTTCCCACCTGTCCTCCCTACTTCTGGTGTAATTATGACCAATCTCAAAATGATTAACAGGTGCATGATTAGAGAGGGTGTTAGTTGTATTGGGGGAGAGTTGCTGCATGATCATTTAAATGTTGATATGCCAAAAGATGTGGGAGTTAGAAGGCTAGTTGCAAGTGAAAAATTTGTATGAATGGAGGGAAGTACTAGTCGAGAAAATGTTTTGTGAGCAGAAGTAAGTATCTACCAGAAATACATTTTCAATTTATGAAAATGTTAAATTTCTAATATACTGTTAATTTCAAGTTTGTGAATTTCTTTTCTTCAACAAAATTTGTGTTTCAGTTGCTTCATTTTGCCAAACATATAATGATCTAGTACTAAAAAATAATAGTTAATTAATTGTGCTGGCATGTCATATGTTATCCAAACATCTGAATTATTTTAGATTATTAGTGATGAGTAAAGGACTATTCATCAAAACCAAACAAACTGCTTACATTCCACCACTCTATGAGGCCTATTTTGTTTATTTTTTCACTCTTTCAAGCAGCACTGATGAGCTGTGAATTCAGTGATATTAGTCTGCTGCAGAGGAAGTAGTGAATCACAGAACAGATTAGACCTTTACATAATCTTTTCTTCACTGAAATTCATGTTTTGACAAGGAAAAGAAATTCACAAATAAATAAATCATTTATAACTTTTTGAAAAAAAAAAAATTGTTTGGGTGAAAAAGTGGTCAGACATGTCTGATTTTGGTATTGGTGGGTCTGTCATACTGCCATATTCTCCTCATTAACATGTGTAAGTAGTTGTGGAAATGGAAACAATTGATCATTGCAAGAATGATTAATACATATAGCCATCATAAAGACTATTTACTACAATGATCACATTATGGTGAACAGAAAGCATTATGATAGTGATTGCAGTACCTCTATCATTTGTGAATAATAAATTAACTGAATGTAATCAATTAATGACCCAAATGATCAACTGAACAGCAATTTCCACTAATCTCCTAGAGCTGACCAAGCTAATGTTTTAATCTCCAGATCAAAGCATATATATGATTATTAGTTTAGATAAGCTGTAATTCAATTTAGGAATAGTTTCTAAGTTGAGATGGAACAAGTTATCAAGACAGAGGTAAAACTAGTGGATAAAGTAAACTTATTATATTATAGTCTCCAGTGGTGAGGTGGAAATACTTACCTTCCATCTGTGTAAAAGTAGGACTTGTTGATCAAGGTCAGATTAGGATTACTTGTGAGTAGTATGGTAAAAACTACCTGTACATCTAGTTATTATTGGAAAGTTAAGACAAATGGCCATGCAAGTTTTGTTAACGATTAGTTATCACTAGTAAGGTAGGTCTGCAGTCATTAACGTATAATGTATACTTGTTTTCCCTGTCAGTTTAGTACTTGTTGCTTCAGTGAATCCATGGTCTTTGGGAGTAATTGTGGTTAGAATGACTAAGCAATGTGTTCTCCATTCTCATTAAGGTTTTTCAAGAGTTCTTTTCTTTATCTTACTCCTAAATTTGGCTTGTGATACTTCCTTTTGATAAATCAATGAAAAAGGGCTTGAAACAGCAAGCAGTGAAGGTTAATAGTCATTTTGATTTTCTTGCAGTAAATTACTTGGTGATTTTGTGATTAGTTCTGACATGCATGTTTTTTTGTTCCATCCATGAATTTGGGGAATATTGTTAAATTGGACACAGTATTCATCTCCACAATGTTTTCCATAACTGGAAAGGTGGAAGTATTATTGTGACTTCTGTGGTTCCAGAGATAGTTGCAGTCATGTAGATTGTTATTAGATAATGGTACATGTAAATACAGTATCAAGTATGTGGTAACTGAGGGTAGTTCAAGCTACATTTTTCAACTTTCCAGCGATGTCTTCTCGTATCTTTTTTTTTGTTCTTCTAAAAACCTTTTTAAAATTCTTCAGTATACTTTCAGTTTTTAGTAGCAGTAATATCACATGGTCAGTTAGTTAAAGTAGAAAAACATTTTTCAGACACGAAGTACATTTTATGAAACTAGTATAATAGGTGATATAATGTAAACAACTTTATAAATAGTGTATGATTGTCACATTATTGGTTTCACACTCAGTGATTATTTTTTTTTGCTTTTTTAAAAACTTAAACCAAGCAAACATTTTTTGCCATCTCTGATTAAAATTATGTGAATAATCCTGTAAACTTTACATTTACCATGAAACATGTTTTTATTCAAGTTTAATTCATTTAGAGTATAGTTGTAATTTGTTTCGTTCCTCATGGAGTTGATGTTTTGAATCTAGACATCTTTTTTAATAGAAGAAGTATTCTTTGATTAAAAGTTAACTAAAATATATAAACATACTTTTTTAACTTCATCTTATAGGATAAAGTAGTGATACCAGAGAAAACAGTGATCCTGGGGTTCCAAATTACACCCTTAGATGGCAGTAGTAGTGAGTCCTTAGACGTGCCAGTCGTGATGGGCATTAAAGATATTCCATTTGTGAGTATTTCAAATGCAAGTTTTTTCTTGTTTGATCACATTTACTGACACACAAAAGGATAAGAGATGAAAATTATAATGCCTAATTTATTGTTGATAATTAATTTATAGTATAAGAGGTGCCCTGCACAATATTATTAAGGAATTAATAAAACATATAAAACCTGGGTGGAAATAGGATTCACTGTGATGATTTACAGAGTTAACATCCATAGGTAAAACATCATCATGTGATATTTACATAGTGAAGACTCACCCTAAAAACAAATTGGGTATTTCAAGGTTCAATCTTTGACCTGTAATTAACTAAATAACTTTTAGATTATTTAGTAAATTGATATCACCACTAAAAACAGTGTGTAAAATCACTGACTTAAAATTACATTTTGTAATCATAAATATATTCTATGTAATAATGGATGGTTGTAAAGGAAACAAACAGACATGTTTTTCTTTTATTATATACCTTAAAAATTACTTGTCTTAGTAGAACAACACTTCACCAAGGGCATATTGAAAATCATAAGTTTTATTCAGAGGGGGTTGTATATGGTGCAGGATGTTTCAAAATTATATTAAACCACATATCTAAAACATTTTTCTCATAAACTAACATTTTTGCTTTTATCTCTCTCTTTCTCTTTATCAACAATATGAGATTATTGATTTGAGTATAATGCATTTCATTGTGTACTTTTCCTTGATTATGTAATGAAAACAATTTTAGTTTAAAGTGGCCAAAATGCAATTCAAAAGTGAAAATGGCCACCTACTTCTTTGTATGTACTGTATGGATGTTAGAAAATAAATTAGGTTTGTCAGAACAACTGAATTTATAAAAGATTCTTCTCATTATGGATAGTTATCTGTATCTGTGGGAACAGCAGTGGAGGTTTCTAAGAATATCTAAGATCAAACTGAGAAGTATTGTTTGGGAGTTGTAAGTGAAAGAAGTGTTTCTCTAGGACTTGATTTACCACAAACTGCAGCATGGAAAGTAAGCAAAGAAACACTAAAGCTACAAACTTATTGCTTTAGATAACTACCTGTTGTTATGGATATGATTTACTTTCGTGATTTGGCTTTGCATTGTAGATTTTGGTCAGGCCAGTGATTGATAAAACATCCTAAGGACATAGGAAGCCCACCTTTGTTATTAATGTGTGTGCCAACTCAAGAAATGCTTTCTTTTATGCTCATGAAAACCAGTACAGTTCATTTGAAGTTTACTTACCATGTTCATGTTACTGTATGTGCTGTCACTTTCATTGTCAATCCTTATTACTTTAAATTTGTTGATAAAACTTATCCTACTCAGATTTATTTTGTTAAATGGAGTTTAGTATGAGAAAATGTTCAGAAAGTATGTTGTTGTATGTCTGGAAGAGCAAAGCAGTGAGAGCATCACTTTTCCAACCAGTTGGGTCAACCTCTCATAACTATTGTCCTGTTAAAAGTCTTCTGTCAGTCATTTTCACAGAAGACTGAAATGTAAGCTATTTGTTCGGGTAGACATTTCACCTGTAGATTTTTAACTGTAGGGCTTCCTTGAAGGTAATATCCATCAAAATTTGGATGTCCTAAAAATGTACATTAGAAATGAGATTATAAGAATCAGTGAACACTTTCTAGAACAGATCATGCTTACAGTAGCCTAACTTATGCTGATTGAGAATATGGGCAGCATGTGGACACATTTTGTGGAAGTGTTTTGAAACACATTGTACCATATCCAAACCTTTCTAAATAAAATATACAACTGTCATTGTACCTCTTCTGGAATTTACTTTCTGTAGGAAAAGTAGTTTTAAGACATAATAATTATTAATATGAATTTTCTCTATAATCATATTGAATATCAGAACTGTGTTATGTTGATTGAGAATTACATTTCTGATAATTTTATTTAACTGGTTAAAAAAAACTTTCCAAAGCCTGAAGTGTTCACAAATACATCAAAAGTATTCAGATTCCTTTGTGATAAGTCATTTTCAACAGTGAGTGCAGCTTTTTATTTCTCTTAACTTCTTTACTACCAAGACTGTGTAGTTGACACTTGTTGTTTTTTTTCAGTTGCACAAATAAATTACTTGAATGAGAAGGACCTTAGAGAATGTAAAACAATTTCTTAAGGCTCGGACTATTAATTTTATTAATATATTATTACTACAATGTATTTCAATTAATTTTGCATTGTTTTGAGAATATAATAGGTAACTTCAGTTAATTTGCTTAAATTGTACAATTTTATGCTAAATGTTGTTTTTAGGCTAGACTTAGTGATTACGATAGTTACATTGTTACTTTTAATGTTATGTAGTAAGTGGCAATGCTTAATCTCTACTTCTCTATATTAAAAATATAATTTTCTTTTCTTTACATTAAAAAAAAAGGAAAGAAAGGAAAAAAAAATTGACTGTGATTCCATTATAACAGTTTACAAGGCTATGAAAGATTAAAGACTGTAATTTTCCTACAGCAGTCACTAAAGCTAAATGTTCATTAAGCTCATTTTAAATTCAGAATAGTCCTAGAAGAGTGAACTGGTGTGGTGAATAATAGTGATGAATTAATTATTGAGGCATATATGATATGATATGAATATGTGTCCATTAAGAAACTCTGCAAAGAAAAAAGGTAAATAGAAGAGAAATGGGGAAAAAAAATTAAATATTTTATAATGGCCTATGAGTTGTGAAGGATTTTGATTTTAGATCTGCTAGTAAGTTATAAACTACACCATGATGAGATATAGATCTAATTACATACTTACTGACTGTTAAACTGTAGGTATAAATGCAATGTTCCATGTGTTTTACTTAGGTATATTGCAAAGTTACCACTACACAGGTTTAGTACAAATTATCTTGTTATAATTTCAATTGCAGAATTTTTTTACTCACATTGTCACTATGTGTTTAATTATAGGCATAAATACATTGTTATTGTGTGTTTGTTATAGATTTATTGTTTAGTTTTAATTACAGTTAGAGGTACTGTGAATTAAATTATAAGTACAAATACAGACATAGTCTTGATTAATTATATATCTAATGTTAGAGTTATCTTGAGTTTAATTTTAGTACTTTTACTAGACATCAAGTCCAAGATAGTGATTAACCTATTAGTAAGATCAGTCTTGTTGTATGCAACATTAGAGCAGATAAATTTCTGGAATGTGGGATCAATGGCCATCCTGACTTTGATCTAAGAGCTGAAACAGATAGTGCCATACATACTGTGTAAGTTTTGGTAAGACATAATGGATAGGATACTTCACCACTCTCTGTTATTAGAGGGTGAAAACAACATGGAGATGCCTAGCTATAGGCTGTAATTAGGGATTATCTGCATAAAGGCCTACATTGGTGGGAAGTTATCTTTATGTCCTTTTGGTCAGTAAGCTTCTACATGAAGATTGACAGCCTTATTCTAAGAGGTTACTGGCCCACTTTCACTCTTCTTTTATGCTAGGGAAGACAGCAATATGAAAAGAAGTTTATGAGCAGAAAGTGGTTTGTATATTGGATAGAAATAATATGTTAAAAATATCACCCAGATGGGTACCTACTGGGTACTACAGATCTGATGCATTCAGCACAGGATCTCAACTGTTGAGATGGAGAACAATATGGAAATCAAGCCCTAAACATCAAGCTGTAAACAAAACATGCATAGAAGGTGCACAAGACTCTGCCAATCTCACATTATTATAGGTTATTGCAATGCCATGGGTATAAGTGGAACCAAAAACTGCCCTTTTGTGTGAGAAGCACTCTGATTTTGATGATATCATACTCTTTCAAGAGATTAAATTCTCAGAGACTAAGGAGTTCACTCTGACCCAGAAACTGGGATAGTCATTACAGTTTATTAAACAGCAATGTCTACTATGAACATTATGACAGCTGTTAGTGGAACAATCATCATTGCAACCTACAAACCATCTAAATAACTCACCTGGAGATACCCAAATACATCTGAATAACCAGTGTGTGTGCATGAAAGATATCACATCACATTTAAGATTGAAGGTTCCTGCTTGACCTGTCTGACAACACTCCTGTGTATCTAGCAGCGGGTGACCTGGGATGCAGATGAAAACCCTAATAACAAAAGTGTCAACCAGTCTATATGCAAGAAAGTGGACTGTGAAGGTATCTACAGATGATGATTTTTCAGTTTGGTCTAATATACAAATGCTGCCTCATGGTGTTCTACAAACACAATTTCATCTTATTGAATGGCGAGCTTATTCTTTGGTGTAAGTGACATGTGAGACCTACTGCTTTTGTTTCAAAAACCAAGATGTGTTTACTCTGATAATTACCTCTCCAGTTATGGTTTGTAATAATGTAAATGTTGTAGAGACACCAGATGGAACAGTTGTTGATAACATGCATGAATAAATGACTAAAACTGACAGTGTAGTTAGTGTTACTTCAGCCAAACCACACTTGCAAATGAATACATGGCTTTTTGTACATTTGAAGTTGTTAGTCAAAATTTGTGAAGACAATTTCAATTCAGGTCAGCATAGAATAGTCAAGAACCTAATCAACAGGATTCATCAATGTATTTGGCAGAACAAATTTCAACAGAAAAATATTTTAGAATTGGTATGTTATCATTATATAACATTTATTTTGTGTAATTTATGAAATTAATTAAAAAAGTGATCTAAATTTCATTTCTGCAAAACTCCAAGGAGTCATGCAAAGAAACAACACACTTATTGACTTTTTAAGAGTTTTTCCCCCTTTCAAAAGTCTAGGAAGAAATAGTGATTTCTGCTTCTTTTAGCACAATGTTTACTTCTATATCAGTAGTTTTGTTATGACAACCATTTAGTATCTGCTAGTAAATGTCACTTTGTTTTCAATAGGGATAACAATATTGCACTTTGTTAAATAATGCTTGAATTGGTTATTGAATTCTTAAATGAGCTTTTTGACTATTTTAGTCATCATCAGGCAAAGATAATTTAAATATGAAATGCA